GTATGTGGTGTGAGACTGTGGTCTATGCATAGCTTCTGTCATACTCTTTTCTGATTTTCCCAGCAGCTTTTGTCAAAGAGTGAGTTCTTATCCCAGAAGCTGGGGTCTTTGGGTTTATCAAATAATAGATTAGTATAATCATTGACTACTGTGTCTTGCATACCTGACTTTTCCACTGATCTACCATTCTATTTCTCAGCCAGTACCAAACAGTTTTGATGATTGTTGCTTTATAATATAGTTTAAGATCTCCCAGGTCTTTTTGTTTTCTTTTAGGATAGGCAATGGGGTTAAGTGATTTGCCCAAGGTCACACAGCTAGGTAGTGTTATGTGTCTGAGGTCGGATTTGAACTCAGGTCCTCCTGACCCAGGGTGGGCACTCTACCCACTGCTCCACCTAGCTGCCCCCCCTTTTTTGAAGCCAATTGGGGTTAAGTGACTTGGGCAGGGTCACAGAGCTAGTAAGTATCAAGTGTTTGGCCTGAGGTTGGATTTGAACTCAGGTCCTCCTGACTTGAGAGCCGGTACTCTATCAACTGCACCACCTAGCTGCCCATCCCAGGGTCTTTTCCAGGATGGTATACTGAGTGCTAGGAAAAGGGGAAGTGAGTGATGCGGGTCCTCCTCCTCCTCCAACTCACGGGGGGTGGGGCTTGCTCCATCCTGACCTACCTGGTGGTTGGTCCTGAGGTTATCAGTCTGCTTCCGGAACACTGCCCCCCACAGGTCCCCAAACAGGAACTTGATGGTGTCCAGCTCCTCTCTGAAGACCAGGGCCCCTTGGGGCAGCCTGGGAGAAACACAAGCTTCTGACTTTAGGATGAAGAAGGCCTGGATCCAGGCCCAGCCCTGGGGAGCCAGGGAGAGGGGATCTAATGGGAAGATGCAGCAGGTGACCCCAGGTCCAGGAAGACCTGGGACTGGGGGAAGGGGAAAGGAGACCGAACACCATCAACCATTTCAGCTCCTGGTACCCTGCTGGGGGGGGCAATGACCACCTGGGGGGCCTCCCCCTGTAGAAGGGTCTGAGCACATGGGACAGGGAACTCCTACCCCAAGTCTCCTGGAGGATGGAGCCCTGGCTCTCACCTCTCAGCCAGACCTAGTCACATGGAAGCCAATTTCCTCAAGGACTGTCAAGCGGGTCCTCTGACCCTAGGAGAGGATGGTGGGGGGGAAAGGGGGCTTAGCCACGGCCCTCAAATCTGGGCACCTCCCCTTCCCCCCCAAAATAGGGAGAAATTACAGATGAGTGATTTTGGATTGCAAATGGAAAAGGACGCTCCCAAAGCTGCATCCCAACCCTGGAGCTGAATGGCCTGAGACAAGTTCCAGAAAGGGCAGGGAGGTACCTAAGAAGCCACCAAGACTGTCACCTCCCAGGACAGGTGACCATCACCGCACCCCCTCCGCCTCAGGCTCTACTCCAGGGCCCCCAGTGTTCTACCAGGGAGCCAGAGGAGAGAAGCCAGGCTCCTTCTTCCCATGAACCCCTCCCTAGGCACCCAGTCCAATGTACAAATACGGCTGAGGTCAGTGCTGAGACCTGGGCTGTGGAGGAGCCAGAGAAGCTTGGAGCGCATGGGGTGGAGGGGCCCGGCCCCGTGGTGACCCCCAGCCCACTTCTTTCACAGTCTGGCTCATCTGTGCCTATGTCTGGCTGCCACTTAGCAGGGAATGCCCAAAATGGAAGCAAGGAATGGAGTGGCAGTGAGGGGGAAGGGACTCAGGGACAGGACTTCTCTGGGGAGGGTTGGTAGAGGCCATCTCAGTGCTCCGTGATCCAGGGTTCATGGGCCCTCCACTGGGTTGGGTGATCGGACGGGCCTGGGTGATGGGAGCTGCCTCACCCTCTGTACCCTCACCAGGTTTCAAGAAAGTGTCTTTGGATTTTCTTTTTTTGTCTAGGCAACGGGGTTAAGTTACTTGCCTAGTGTCACACAGCTAAGTAAGTGTTATGTGTCTGAGGCCGCATTGGAACTCAAGTCCTCCTGAATCCAGGGCCGGTGGTCTATCCACTGCGCCACCCAGCGGCCCCTGAAGTATCTTTGGAAAGAGATGGTCGTGTGTCCTCGGGATGGAGGGGATACAGTGAGAGGAGGGGACACAGGCTACGATCCCCCAAATCGTCTCTGCGCTTGGGCGTTCTCCTCGCCCACCCTGCACAACCAGTGCTGGTCACCAGGTAGCGCTGTGGCTTCTTACTGCAAGCCAGGGTCGCTGTACCACTGGTCCTAGGCTGGCCGGCCCTGCCCCCTACCATTCCACGTGGGCCTTCCACCAGTCCTTCAGTGCCAGGTGACCCCTCCCCCCTCAGGCGTTAGGACCTGGGTGATCCTGTGGCCTTTCATCCTCTGGATTCTGTAGAGCTGCCCCTCACCAAGGCTGTCCTGCCGAACCTCCAGGTTGTCCTGTCCAGGATGGGGTCGTGGATGGAACTAGGTGGCTCAGCCTTCCAAATGCTCAGCACCGTGGCTGCAGCCTGGTGGCTTCTGCGGGTAGCCTGGTGTCTGGGCCATGCCCTGCTGGTCTATGGGCTGCCCCAGATTGGCCTGGGCCTTGGCATTTCTCTCAGGAAGCAAGGGGCCCGGGCAGGTGTGTGGGAGAAGGAGGGAGGGAAAGGGGCAACGTCTCTGATGATAGGGGTCCTGTAACCTGCTGCCTCAGAAGAGTCTGTGGACCATGGATGGAGGACCCCAGAACCTGGATTCAAAATTCAGTCAAGTTGCTTGGGACCCCATGTGACCCCCCCCCCGGGCAAGTCACTTCCACTGTGGGCTTCGCTTTCCTTGTTTGTAAAATATGTGTCTGACCAGGGAGCCCCAAGGTCTGTCTGAACCTTGAATCTGATTCCATGACATGGGTAACCCCCAGGAGGCCATTGAATCTCTCTCAGACTTGGTGTCTTTTTGTTTTTGTTTTTGTTTTTTAGTTTTGCAAAATTGGGGGCAGCTGGACTAAGTGATTGCTAGAGTCCTGGGAGACTTCACATCTGAGATCCTCTGATCTGTGTATTGCATGTATAGGTACTCAAATGCAGGTGTGTCCCTAGGACTGCAGGCCCCCTCCTAGCATGTTCCCCTTGTGCAAGCTCTCATTTCTCAGTTAAGTTCCACTGTATAAACAACTTAAAGTCCTTTTCAATTCCAGGGCCATGGAGGTAGAACTCAGAAGGAGGAGGTGGAGAGTAGAGGCTCTCTCCTGCCCCTTTCTGGGATCTCCCATTGGGTGGGTCCTGCAGAGTGTATCCCTCCACCAGACCCACAGGCCTCCATTCATAGCCTCTGTCTTTCCACAGTGGTAACTGGGGTCACAAGTGGAATTGGCAGGAGCTATGCTCATGAGGTAAGGGGGGCCTGGGGCCAACTGAATCTGTCTTTAGTATACCTGGACATGGCCCCACATGTCTATTCCATTGCATTGCACATACACGTTCCCATACATTCGGTGTTTTTCCCATGAATGCTTTCTTGTATGTGCCCTGATCATTTTCTAGAGCCTTAGGACACGTGTTTGCAGGGGATTCCTGTGTAAAGACATATAAATGTAGTAGTTAATGTTACATGTGAATGTACATACATACATACATACATACATACATACATACACAAAGATGGATAGATGATAGAAAGACAAGTAGACAGGATAGGTACAAAGACAGACAGATAAGTACATCCATATTTGTCCTGAGTGTTTCTGCCCATGGGTTCCTATGAATTTCCCACGTCCTTCTTTGTCCTATGCATACCTGCTTATTTGGATGGACCCTCTTGAGTCTTCTGTAGGTTTGGAAGGTTCTGTGTGCCCACTCCCTCAATCCCCCCATTCTCCTATCTCCCTACAGCTGGCCCGAAGAGGCCTCAACGTTGTACTGGTGAGCCGAGATCTCAGCAAGTTACATGGGGAGGCAGAGGACATTGGTGAGAGCCGGACTAGAAAGGAGGGGTATGGGTTAGAAGTGAGACTGGTCAAGGTTCCACAATGAGACTTGGAACCCAAAGACCCAGGTTGGACACAGCTGTGCTAGAAACGGGCTGTGTATGAGCCTGAGCCAGTCAATCCCATGTGTTCTCTGGGCCTTTCCTCATCTACATAATAAGGAGTAGTACTAAGCTTCTGTTTCTGTATTCTCTGAGTTTTACTACAGAGAGACTCCATGGTAAGGAAACAAGAGTCATCCAGGTGGAGTTCACTGGAGGCTTAGAGATCTATGAGACAGTTGAGAGAGACTTGGAGGGCCTAGACATCGGCATTCTAGGTACACACCCATTCCCTCTTCCCTTCTCAGTCCTGCCCCCAGAATTCCTCTCCATCTGCTTGCTTTGTGGTACTGACCTGTTTTTTTCCGGTCAACAATGTTGGAATAGCTTCAAAGATAACCCTCCACAAGCTAATGGATTTGCAGAATGCAGGCAAGGTAGAGGAAGCTACATCCCCCACCTCCCCAACTCATGCCTTTTTCCATTTCTCTCAATTTATCTATCTCTTCTTCTCCCCTCCCTAAATCTTCCCTCTTTATATGCCACTTCCTTCATTACCCCACCTTCCCTCCTATCTCACCACCCCCACCTCTCCAACCTTTCTAACAGGCAGAAAGTACTTTGTAAATTTAAATCAGGTGAGAAATGTGAGCTCTCCTTCCTTTGGTGGCCATAATAACAATCAATGTTGAGAAAATGTTGCCTTCAAAATGATGACAATTTGTTCCACTCTAAGTGTATTTGTCTTCCCTGTATTTATTTACAAATGTGGTTTGATTTTTTTTAATTGAACCTTGGGTCAAGCTTTGGGGAAGGGATTTGAGTGCTTAGAGAAATTTTCCTAGAGGAGATGGAACTTGATGGGGGACAGGTGGAGCCTTGAAGGTTGAGAAAGACCTTAATGTGTCAGCAAATTCCCACCTGAGAATTCATGGCCAGATTGCTTTAGGGGGAAGTGAGAGGCCCAGAGGCCCATGAAAAATGAAAGGTGTACTCTGTCTTCCCAGAGTTTCACAGACATGATGAATTGTAACATGCTGTCAATGATTCAGGTGAGAGTGAGGCAGAACAGAGAGGAAGCATCATTGGCAGCGGATGGAAAGGAGTAGGGGGGGGATATGGGGAGAGATTGGGGAGTGGGCCAAGGGCAGATTATTGGGTAGATTTAGCCTTTGCTTCTCCCTCCACAGATGATCCGGATCATCCTGCCTCTGACGGCAGCCAGGTAGGGCGCCCAGTCATCCCCTTCTCCCTATCTCTAGAGCCTGCCTTCCCATCCATACAGACCTCCTGGCCTACCTCACATCCCCTCTGCCTCTGAGACACTCATTTGCCTTTGATTCTGCCATTCTCAGTCTTCTTCTCCAATTCTGCAGGGGACGAGGAGCCATCATGAACATATCCTCTGAGGCTGGCAGACAGCCTTCCCCATTCTTGGCATTATATGGGGCTACTAAGGTAAAATGGGTCCCACATCTGAAAGTGGCCAGACCCTTTCAAGTTGCCAGGAACAAGAAAGAGGTTCAGGTATGGGGATGGAATGAACAGAGTGTCCCATGTTGATCTGAGAGCAGTGGGGTGGGGGAGTGCCCCCTCTACCCCTGATTCCCTCAAAGTCATTGGGCAACCAGCTCTCTGAGTTGCAGGTCTACTGTATATAAAACGAGAGAGTAGATACTAAGCTCTTCACCCCCATTGGCCCACTACCCCTATGGGTTCAGTAATTTCATAATGGGAGGCCTCACAGAGTAATAAAATGAAACCAGCCAAAGTCTGAGTGCCCCCTTACCAAGTGGGGCCCCAGGAGCTTCCTGGGAGATAGCAATGGAAGCTGAGGCTCACTTTTGCCTTTTGACACTGACAAAGCTTGCCACATGAGGGAAGGACACGAGAGTTCATTAAGCAAATATTAACATCTTGCTCAGTTCTGTGATAATCACTGGGGGTATGGGTACAAGCAAAATAAGCAATCTTTGCCCTAGGCTTGGGGAATGGCGGGGTCATCATTTTGAAATCCAGAAAGTCCTGAGTAAGGCCAGGAGAGGAATAAAAGGGAGCCTGTCTAGGCATCTCCACCAAAAGGAGACTCCAGCTGGAACTGGCCAGTAAGATCAGGGAAATCACCCTTGCAGAGGAATATTCCATGGTGAGCAGGCAGCAAGGTTGGAAGGATGCTCTAGAGTGAGGAGGTCCCAGGTCCTGAGGAAAGTGTCTAGGGCAGATCGCAAGAAGAGAAGATTTTGAGGTCCAGAAGGTTTAGAACAGGGCTATGAAGGGAGTGAGATATTTAGGAAGTCCAGGAATTAGTTGGAGGGACTGGGGGTGCTTGGCCTAGAAGTGTCTTCAAGCACATGACAGTATGTTGGGTGGAAGAAGTTTTCATTCTGCTGGGACACAGAGGATGCTTTACATTTGATTTAATAGCAGCAAGGAGCTGTTAAAAGTTTTCCAAGCAGGGGACTGATGTAGATAGATCTGTGCACAAGGAAGATGATCCTCTCTAAGATTTGAATGATAGATGGGTAGAGAGAAAGAGTGCACCTAGGAACACCTGTGAGGAGGCTGTTCTGATGAACTAAACTGGTGGTGGTGAGAGCTGGAACCACAGTAGTGGCCCTAGAAAGGGAGGAGGTGATAGGAAAGGTACCAGGAATATGGACTCCACAAGAGCTGGCCACTGACTGGATCCTAGCAGGGGGAAGCGGGAAGGAGCAAAGCTAACCCTAAGGTTCTTATCAGAGGAGAATGGTTGCATGGTGGTACTGAGGTCAGAAAGAAGGATGGGGTAAAGGAAAAAGGTCGTCTTGGTTCTGGATGTGCTCCAGGTGGAGGCAACATGCTGGAAGCTCACGGGTGAGGCCAGGGCTGAAGGTTGTACTCTGAGAGTCATCAGCATCAAGGTGGTAGTACAACCATGTGAGAGAAGGGAGATTGGCTCTGTTCCATTCTCTCCTTTGGTGTTTACCATATCAAGATCTGTTAAAGGAACTGGGTGTGTCTGGCAAAGACAAGAAGTATCTGCAGGTGAGGGAGATGTGAAAGCTGTCTCCAAGTATTTGAAGGGCTGTCATATGGAAAAGGGATTCGACTTTTTTTGTTCAGGGTAGATCCAGGGATAACGGTAGAAGCTGCAGAGGTAAATCTAGGCTTGGACAGTTGGGTTGCACACTGGATAGAGCATTAGGCCTGGAGTCAGGAAGACCTGAGTTCATATCTGGCTTCAGACACTGGCTGTGTGACAATGGGCGAGTCACTTAATACTGTTTACCTCAGTTTCTTCATCTGTAAAAAAAAGCCGGAGAAGGAAGTGACAAATCACTCCAGTGTCTCTGCCAAGAAAACCCCAAAATGGGCTCATGAAGAATTGGACATGACCGAAACGACTCAGTAACAATAAATATAGACATGATATCAAGAAAACCTTCCTAACTACTGGAGCTATAAAAAAAATACAATGAGTTTCCTCTCAGGGTTTTACTTTGCCCCTCACTAAAAGTAGACCTAGGTGACCACCGGTCAGTTGCATTATAGAAGGGATTCCTTAGGTGTGTGATGGACTAGATGCCTTCTAGATGGGATGCCTTCTAGCTTGAGATTCTGGGATTCTGCAACATTCACACATCCAGTCTAAGCCCTTTCCCTTGTGAGATTCTTTGTTCTGTATCCTAAAAGCCCTGCTGGTTCTGGCAGTCTATAATCTAAGGTACTTTCCAGCTTTAAGGTCGTGTGTTCAAAGTCTCCTGCCAGCTCTGACACTCTCTGTTCTAAGCTACCATCAGCTCCCTTAACCTCCTCACTAAGGGCCCTCTCATACTTCACGCACTATTTTCTCTATTCTAATGTTTCCTTTTCTAAGAACACTATCAAATATGATGATCCCTTCTTTAAATACTCTCCCAACTCAGACTTACTATGTTCTAAGGCTATCCCTAATATTCTCTGTTCTGAGGCTTCTCCCTGGTCTGATATTTTTTATTCTAAGGAGCCTTATGGCTCTGTTATTCTGTGTTCTGGCATGACATTCCATGTTCTAAGGTTCTTCTTAGTCTTTTTAATCTTGTTAAATTTTATATAAATAGTTTTAAAACTATACATAATACAAATTCACAGTTCAAATATAATCAATTACCATTCCTGTTTTTTGTATATTGAAATAATTTTGTATTTTGCTCATTTTTCTTTTTAAAAATTATTAATTGGAAACATTTTTCTCTTCTTAAGTTTGAGTTCCAAATTCTATACCTCCTCCCATCCCTCCCTCATCCACTGAGAAGGCAAATAGCATGTCAATTATACATGTGAAATCATGCAAAATGTATTTCCATAGTAGTCATATTGCTATAAAAACAAAAAATGAAGAATGCGAGAAAATTGTATTCCAATTTACACTCAGAATTCATCTATTTTTTCTGTCTCTTGGAGATGGATAGCACTTTTTCATCATGAGTCCTTTGGAATTGTCTTGGATCATTATATTGATCAGAATAACCAAGTCTTTCCCAGTTGATCACCATGACAATATTGCTGTTACTGTGCACAATGATGTCCTAGTTCTTCTCAATTCACTTTGCATCAGTTCATATGGGTCTTGCTATGTTTTTCTAGAACCATCCCCCTTATCATTTCTTATAGCATAGCAGTATTCCATGACAATCACATACCACCACTTGTTCAGCCATTCCACAATTGATGGGCATCCTCTCAATTTCCGATTCTTTGCCACCATACAAAGTGCTGCTATAAGTCTTTGTACATGTAGGTCCTTTTCCTGTTTGTATGATCTCTTTGGGATACAGCCCTAGAAGTGCTATTGCTGGGTCAAAGGATATGCACAGTTTTATGCCCTTTGGGCATAGTTCCAAATTGTTCTTCATAATGGTTGGATAAGTTCACTACTCCACCAACAATTCCTTAATATACCTATTTTCCCTCATCCCCTCCTGTATTTTTCATTTCTGTACGGTATGAGGTGGTACCTCCGAGTTGTTTTAATTTGCATTTCTCTACTCAATAGTAATTTAGAGCATGTTTTTCTTATGACTAAAGATAGCTTTGATTCCTTCTTCTGAAAACTGCCTGTTGGTATCCTTTGACTATTTATCAATTTGGGAATGGCTGTTATTTTTATAAGTTTGACTCAGTTCTGTACTCAGTATATATTGAGAAATGAGGCCTGTATTAGAGAAACTTGCTGTAAAATTTTTTATATTATTTCATCGTCTATGGTACCTTTTAGCAAAATGTAATTTCCCTGATTGGGCTACTAGGTGGTGCAGTGGATAGAGTGTTATACCTGGAGTCAGGAATCTTCCTTTTCCTGAGTTCAAATGTGAGCTCAGACACAAAGACAGGTGTGTGACTCTGGGCAAGACATTTCCCCCTGTTTACCTCAGTTTCCTCATCTGTACAATGATATGGAGAAGGAACTGGCAAACCATTCCGGTATCTTTGCCAAGAAAACACCAAAGGGGTCACAAAGAGTTGGACATGACTCCCAACTTGGACACAACTCTGAGGAAAACAGGGTGAAGTGCCCAGGGTCACATAGCTAGGACATATGTGAGGCTGGATTTAAACTCGGGAAGATGAGCATTCCTGACTCCAGGTCCAGCACTCTTAACTACTGTACAAACTAGCTGCCAATGTTGGGCTTGGGTCGAATTAGCATTTTTCTTTCCGTCTTTTTTTATAGCTGTTTTCACCACTGTTGTCTTCTATTAAGTTTATGTCTTGGTCTTCCCTCCACCCTGGCCAAGGTGTTTTTTTCTTTCATTGTTAGTTGTTGTGTGTTCATTTTTCCAGCCTACTTCTTGACTTTAAACTTGGCATTAAAGTTGGGTTCTGTTCTCCTGGGGGTAGAGAGGTGCTGTCCCAAGCTTTAGGGTTTTTTTGTGCTCTGTTTCAGAGCTAGTTGTGAGAGTCTCTAAATTTTCATTGCTTTCAAGGTGGTACAATGTGGGGAGAGGTGTGGTCAACTGCTTTCTTGATCTGCTCTCTGGGCTTGATACGGAAAGGGCTCCTTCTCCCCTACAGCCAGCATTCTGGAACTGTGACCAGGTCCCCAATTCTCCTGCAGCCACAAGCACTACCCCTTTCTTTGCCTTGGAACTATGACCAAGGTCCCTGCTCCCTTGTGACTGGCCAGCAGCACTCCTATGCTCTCTAGAACTGCTACCTAGAACCGTGAATGGGCCACAGAGTTGCCAATCACCCAGTGCCACCCAAAGGTCCCTTGTAATCTGTTTCTGACAATTTGTGCCACCCCTTGCCATCTGTGAGCTGAGAGCTCTCAAAGCTCCCTCTACTGCTGCTATCAGCTGCAAGACCCACCATTAGGTGCCCCTGTCACACTCTGGGCCTTTATCCACCCCGAGGTTCCAGACCTTTCCTGTTGACCTCCTAAGTTGTCTTAAGCTGGAATAATGACTTCCTGTGACCTTCTGTTGGCTTTGCTGCTCCAAAATTTGATTTGAAGCAATATTTTAAAGTCGTTTGGCAGGAAATGTTGGGAGAGTTCTGCTGGTCCCTGGTCTGTAACTCTACTATCTTGACCACTCCCTCCTGGTTCTGGCATGCTATGCTGTAAGGCCCCTCCTGTCCCACACATACTCTGTTGTAAAGTCCCTCCCAGCTCTGTCATTTCCTATTCCAATGTACCCCTCCTCAGTATTCCCTGTTCTAAAGTCCCTCCAGTCTCTATCATTTCCTCCAACCAGCTCTAACATTCTATGTTCTGAGCCCTGAGCTGACCCCCAGAGACCTCTCACTCTAGCACATCCTTTGTCCTGAGGCTCCAGAATTCCTTTGGCTAGAAGCCTTCTTGTCACCCCAGGAAAGGGAACCATATCCAAAGGAAGAAGTGGTGGTCACAGAGTGCCAGCAGGGCTGCACCAACGACAGGTCTTGCCAAAATAACCTTATTTCCTGTTAGGGCAGGTGCACAAAACTTGTACAGATCAAGGGTATTCAATAGATAGCATTTACCTGGGTCTTACCCAGGTGTTTGATAATATATCTCATGATGTTGTGGAAGAGAGAGATGTGGGCTAGATGGCAGCTTGATTGAGGCCACGAGGGGGCACCATAGTGCACAGAGTGTTGGGTCTGGAGCCCAGAGCCTTACTAGCTGTTTAACTCTGGGCCAGTCACTTAATCTCTGTTTGCCTCACTGTCTTCATCTGTAAAATGGGGATGATCATAGTACCTACCTCCAAGGGCTGTTTTGAGAATCAAATGAGAAGATAATTGTAAAGCACTTAGTGAAATGCCTGAAACATAGTAAGCATAACAAAAATGCTAACTATTGTAAGCTATTAAGTGCAGGAGTCTCAAATCACTAGAATGACCAGATTCGAAGAGTTAATCATTTATAGTTTGATAATATCAACCTGGAAAGAGTTCTCCTGGAGTGCCAGAGGGATCTGTGCTTGGGCCTCTTCTGCTAAGTGTTTTGTTTTTTTAAATCATTGACTTGGATGAAGGCACAGATGAAATGTTTATTCAAATGCGTAGTTGACCCAAAGTTGAGAGGGAAAGGAGATTGGAATGTGCATTTTTAAAGTGCCCACTATGTGTTAGGCACTGTGCTAAGTAGTTTACAAAGATTATCTCAGTTTGTCCTCCCAACAGCCACGGGAAGTGGGTGCTATTATGCATATTCATAGATGAGGAAACTGAGGCAGATAGAGTTGAAGTGACCTGGCCAGGGTCACACAGCTAGGAAGTGTGTGAAGCTGCATTTGAAGCCAGGTCCTTCTGCCTCCAGGTCCAGTGTTCTCTCCAGGTTACTGCCCTGCCCCTCCCCAATAAGAATGGATGAAAGAGCCAGGATGTGAACAGATCATGACAGGCTGGGTGGGGGCTATTAAGATGAAACTGTATAGGGATGAATGTAGCTTTACATTAGGTGCACAAATCCAGTTCTTTGGTTGGAAAACAGTTTATCTGAAAAAGATATGGAGGTTTCAATGGATTGGAAGCTCAGTATCTCGTATTACTGTGATCTAGCAGCCAAAGAGCTAACTACATCTTGGGCTCCAGGAACAAGCTGGGGATCAGTCATATCTCTCTGTATTCTACTCTGGCAGGACCACATCAAGACTCTTGCATTCAACTGTGAGCACTAACCTTGAGAAGAAAACTAATAGTCTGGAAAACATCCAAAGAAATACAATCAGGATGGCGAGAGGCCTCCAGGACATGGCATATGAGGCCTGTCCACAAAACTGGGAAAGCTTCTTTTGGGCATCTGAGATGCTTCAGCTCCTTACCTACCTCCCCCTCTCCAAATAACAAAAACAAAAACAAAACCAACCTGGCCTTGTGTTGATTTTGATGAGGTTTATTTGGGAATATGAGTACTAGTGGCGCCATAGTGCACAGAGGGCTTGGCCTGGAGTCAGGAAGACATCTTCCTGAGTTTAAATCTGGCCTGAGACACTAGCTGTGGGACCCTGGGCCAGTCACTTCACCCTGTTTGCCTTAGTTTCCTCATCTGTAAAATGAACTGGAGAAGGAATGGCAAACTGCTCAGTATTTTTGCCAGGAGAACTCCAAAATGAGGTCAAGAAGAATCAGACAGGATTAAAAAATGGCTCAACAACAAATATTTAGAGATTTGTTTTCTCTCCAGATAGAATACAAGCTCTTGATCCTATGTGAGCAGTAGCAAGAAGGCCAATCCACTGGTTTCTGGCGTGTGTGGCATAGAGCATAGATAGAAGACTACATAGTGCAGTGGATGGAGCACTGTACTGAGTCAGAGAAACCTGGGCAAGAACATGGGCAAGAAATAGGCTGTTGAATTGTTTTAGTTGTGCCCAATTCTTCGCCACCTCATTTGGAGGGGTCCCTCTGGCCAGGAAGTCTTCCTAGAAGAGTCAGGGTGGGAAGGGGCTAGCTAATCTGCATCCAGAAACCTTATGGAAAAGCTGAGAGAGGTCAAAGAGCCCTGGGGGCTAGGGTGGTCAGGAAAGACTTCCTAGAAAGGAGAAATGTGACCTAGACTTTGAATGACACAGGAAATTGTCAGGGTCAGTGGAAAAATTCCTCTATTGTTTTGGGAACCATAGAGCAGCTAGGCAGCACAGTATGGTGCCTGGAGTCAGGAAGACTCATCTTCCTAAGTTCAAATCTGGCCTCAGACACTTATTAGCTATGTGACCCTGGGTAAGTCACTTAACCCTATTGCCCTCAGTTTCCTTATGTGTAAGGTGAATTGGAGAAGGAAATGGCAAATCATTCCAGTATCTTTGCCATTTTGCAGCCAAGTTTTGTCAATCAGTCATTTTAGTAGTGTCCCACACTTTGTGACCAGGAGGGTGAAGAAGAGTTGGATGTGACTAAAATGACTGAATGGTAAAGTTTTGGAGCTGCCCCTGAAGAGAGGCCAGTCTTAGGCTCTGCCACAGTGTAGGTGGAACATTGATGAGCTGGAGAAGGTGCTGATGGGAACCAGCAGGAGCTTGAATCTGGTGTGATACAAACTCCCCTCTTTGGTGTTTCAAACCTTTATAGCCACGCCTGGAACTCCCTTCCCAGCATTGTTACTCATGAGCACAGTAGGATCACAAATGGAGAGCTAGAAGAGCCCTCAGACCTTGGTCACAGTTCCAAGGCAGAGAGTGGTAGTGCTTGCGGCTACAGGCGAATTGGGGACCTGGTCACAGTTCCAGAGTGGTGGCTGTAGGGGAGCAGGAGCCCTTCCTGGGTCAATTTGCTTTACAAATTATATATTATTATATAAATAAAATATATAAATATATTTATATAGTTACTATATAAATACAAATTGATGTTTGTACTCAAAGAAAAACTGGACAGGTCTCCCCCACCCCCACCCCTCACCCCTGCCTCTATTTCTGTACTGCTCTCCTTACTCACCCCCGTCTTTTAGAATCTCCAGCTTCCTCCAAAGATCAGCTGAATTGCCACTGTCTACTTGAGGGCTTCCTGATCATTCACACTGCCCCAGGTGCTTCACCTATCAATTACCTGGTATTTAATAAACAATAGTCACTAGTGTTTGCATAAGACTTGAAGGTTTGCAATGTACTTTAGAAATATCCCATTTGATCCTCACAAAAACCTTGGGAACTGGTTGCTATTATTATGCCCACTTTACAGATGTGGAATTTGAGGACAATAGAGACAGAGGTTAAGTGACTTGCCCAGGGTCATTCAGCCAGTACAAGGCTAAGGCAGGATTTGCACTCAGATTTTCTTGAAGCCGGATCCAGCACTCTGTTATTGGGTCATTAGCTGCATATGTTTGATATGTATGCATACGAACACATGTTTCTCAGGATAGAATGGAAGCCTCTGGAGGGCAGGGATTGCTTTGGTTGTTTTTGTTTTGTTTTGTTTGGCTTTCTGTTTTTATTTTATCTCTAGTGCCTAGAAGAACCCCTGCAGAGAGTGGGCTATTAAATACTTCTTAGCTGTTTGGTTGATCTATAGAACCAGGCATATTTAGCCCAGAGAAGAAAAGGCTTCATGTAGTACTTTTGAACTCTCTTCCAGGACTTGGAAGAATGTCATGTAGACAAGAACCAGTCTTGTTGTCCTTCAACACCGAGGGTAGAACCAGGAGCAATGAGGTGCCCAGGGCAGAACAAGGGTCCTGTCAATGAGAGCTGCCCCAGAGTGGAAGCTGCCTGGGGAGGTAGTGAGCATCCCATCCTGGGAGGTCTAACAGCAGAAGCTGGAGGATGACATCTCATTGAGGATGTAGGGAAGACTCCTCTTCAGGTATGGGTTCCACTAAGTGTACTCTGCGTCCCTTCTGATGCTAAAATTCTGTGAGTCACCCTCTCTCACTGCTAGGCCTTTATGAATAGCTTCTCTCGGGCTGTGGCCTTGGAATACCAGTCCTCTGGAGTCATCATACAGGTATGGGTGTGGGTGTGAGTGTGAATGCACTTGTGTAACTGTTAGGGCATGAAGATGTGGATGGGAAAGTCTGTGAGGAGCTGAGAGATGGGGGAGAACTTGGGAAGAGGGCAAGGGGGTCAAGGTAAGTGGGATTGGTGAGAGGCAACAGGTTTGGTGAGGTAATAGGTAGTTGGGGGCAAAGATGGGAGACCAGCTAAGGGGGAGGAAGCCTTTTGAAGTTGGGTAGAGTGAGAGTTATGACATTCCGTCCAGTCATTAACTTCTTTCTCCAGACTCTTACTCCTCTGGCTGTTTCCAGCAACATGAGGCAGATGCCACCCAGAAAATTGTTGGTGAAGTCTTCAGATGACTTTGTCAGAGAAGCCTTGGACACCGTAGGCATCTCTAACTTCACCTGGGGGTGTTTCCTACACTCTGTCCACGTAAGTGACTGGGCTGCCCATTGGGTTGAACTAATAGGGAAGGTATCCAGACCAACTCCTGGCTTGATGGGTTGGGTAAGGAGGGAAGGAAGGATACTCTTACACGGCAGGAATTCTGCTAACCCCTTTACAAAGATATCATATGATCCTCACAACAACCCTGGCAAGATAGGTGCTGTTATTATCCTCATTTTCCAGTGGAGGAAGCTGAGTCAGAGAGACGTTCAGTGACCTGTGTGGGGTCACACAGGCTGGATTTGAACTCAGGTGTTCCAGTCTGCAGGTCCAGTGCTCTACCCATTGTCACCTAGCTGCACACACCTATGTAGAAGTTGGATCTTTGGGTGTGTGTGTGTGTGTGTGTGTGTGTGTGTGTGTGTGTGTGTGTGTGTATTGGGGTGAAGGGGGATAATGGCTGTTTTCAGCAAAAGCCATGGGGTCCAGGAAAGAATGGGAGGCATGAATGAAGTCAGATGTCGGCCCCAGTTACACTGTCATGGAAAGAACATTGGATTTGGATTCAAAAGACCTGGGCTCATATCCTAGCTTTGCCATGTACTGGACCCTCATCAGTCACCTTGCCCAGGGTTTGTCTGGTACACAGGAAAGAGTACTGGATTAGGAAATTCTAGTCCTGGCTGTGAGTCTTGAGAAAGTCATTGAATGTCTCTGAGACTCAGTTTCCTGATCTGTAAAATGAGGGGGATGGCTCAGGTGCCTCCCTTCCATCTCTAAATCTGTGATACTAAGACCTAAATCTCCAGAATTCAATTTTTTTCCACTTGTGAACTGAGAGTGGCTTTCATTAGGTGATCTCCATGGTCCCTCACAGCTCTGAGTCCTCCTTTAGGAGAAGATGAGCTCCTGGACCTGTGATTTCATAGGAGGTAGGGAACTCCTGGTGAGGACCTTCCCTCTCCCAATACAGCTTGTCTGCAGTCTAGAGTTGTTGAGTTGCCTGAGGCACTGAGAGGTGCCACAGCCTGTCAGTATCAATGCTGGCCCATTGGCCCCTTAGCTTCTCAGCCACATTGCTTGTGGAGGGCTCAGATGTTCTGAGAAAGTCATCAGAGCAACCCCCTCCTCCCTGGGTCTGATACTGAGTCTTGAGACCTTGAAGGAAATGCCTCCCACCAGAATTACAGATTGGAACCCATTCCCAAGTGCCAGTTGTCATAATACTAGACAGGTCAATGGGAGCTCACTTATCCAAAGTTTTGAGAGGCGAGCTCCCCTTCCTTGGAGGTCTTCAGGCTGAGGCTGCAGGAGTATCTGCTGGGTATATTCTAGAAGATCCTGTTCCTGTATGGGATGGATTGAATGGCCTCCTGGGTGCACCAGAACTCCCGGGCCATCTGACTCTTTCCCCTTCAGAGAACTGTCCACCCCACTCCCAGGGTTGTGGAGCACAGAGGCTGAATTTTATTTATCCACTACCTGCTGTCGTGTATAGCCTTGAAGTGAACAGATTGCAACAGTTTTGTATTATTTGACAGGCTGTTGAGTACAAACAGTAAAGACATAATTTGTACAATGTTAAATGAGGTTGATACTGTATATGCCAGAGGCTGCTTCCCAGACAGTGATCTGTCATCAACATGAAGATTAGGAACACAGGGTAACATCTCTTAATTCATACATCATAAATACAGGGGACCGCCAGGTGGCGATGCTTTTGGGTAGAGCTCAGGGACTAGAGTCAGAAAGACTCATCTTCCAGAGTTCAAATCCAGCCTCAGACTCTTACTAGGTGTGTGATTCTGGGGAAGTCACTTAACCCTGTTTGCCTCAGTGTCTTCATCTGTAAAATGAGCTGGAGAAGGAAATGGTAAACCCCAAATGGAGTCAGGAAGAGTTGGACACAATTGAACACAACAAATGAATAGATGAGTATACTTTCTGTACTGCTTTTCACATTAGAAGAGAGAGGAAGGGGAGGAAGCATTTCTATAACATCTACTATGTGCTAAGCACTTTACAAATATCTCATTTGATTGTCATGCCAACCCTTGGAGGTAGGTGCTATTATTATCCCCATTTTGCAGTTGGGGAAACTCTGGCAGGTTGAGGTTAAGTTATTTACCCAGGGTTACATAGTTAGTAAGTGTTTGAGACCAGATTTGAATTCGGATCTTTGTAACTCTAAGCCCAGCACCCTATCTGCTGCTTTACCAGCTGCCTCATCCTCAGTATTCTCTGCCCCCTAAGGCTTCACCTTCTGATTGATTGGTTCCTTCCAGAACTTCCATTTTAAGGGGAAGGCCCAGGCAACAGTTATCTTCAGCCCTCTCCAGGCTGCACTGCAGACTCATCTGCCTAGAACTTCCCCTACCTTTTCTCTTTTCCTTTTTCAGCTTTTTTTTTTTTAGCATTCCATAAGAACAGAAGCTTCTTGAGAGGAGGGGCCATCTTTGTTTCTGCTTGTATTTGTATTTCCAGCACTTAGCAGAATACCTGGCACATAGTAAAGTGTTAATAAATTCTTACTGGAGGACTGGCAGTATAATATGTAGCACTCAAAGAAGGAATCTTAGAATGTCAGAGCTGGAAGGAACACCTGAAAACAGAGAATATCAGAAGTATCAGGGACCTTAGAACAGAGAATGCAAGAGCTGGGAGGCACTTTGAACATGGAATGTGAGAGCTGGGACGGCTCTTAGAACAGGGAATGTCAGAGCTGGGAGGGCCTTAGAGATCACCTAGTGTAGAGATACCAAAACTCGTGCACTGAAAAACACCAAAGTGCTGCCCAGACCAGATTAAAATATAATTGGGAAATGCTTATGAAGGTAAATATGACTCCTCTCCATGGCTGATGTTCCTAAGTCAGTAGTTATCTGCTGGGCTCTGTTTCTTCTGGAGTTGTCTGAGGAGGCCCTGAGTGGGGATTGCCCCAGGCCCCAGTGCTCTGGGTGCTAGGCTGCCTCCTGACCACTGTGCTCCCTGCTTTCCTCAGAGCTTGTTGCTGTGGCCCCTGACTTCCAACTCCAAATTCATCACCCTGATTCTGACGTTCTTCAACTCTCAGTTCAGAGCATTCAGCAGATCCTGAAGAGTTGTGGGAAGGAGGTGGGGGCTCAATTGGAGGCCTTTTGTTGGGGGAAGAGTGGTGACTGCTGCTGGTAGGAAGAAGGGGGCAAACAGAAGCGTTTCCTTTCATTGGGTCATCCCTTTGTCCTGCTTACTAGGCTCATTTTGAGGAGAAACCTGAGCCCCAAGAAGCTACAGATATAACTTGCTATAATAAATTGTTTTCTCTTTAGTTAGCTATCCATCTTATCAACTGCTGCATGGCCAAGCATACTCACCCCTATTCAGGTGCCACCCAGGCCCAGGGGCCAGTCTGGGAGTCCTGGATTTGAACCCTACCTCCACCCCTCATCACTCCTAGGTCTGCTGAGTGGGGCCCAGGAGAGGTAGCCTGACCTCTCTTGCCCATGAGCAGCCTGTCAGATACGGAAGGGATCCCTGGTAGCAGAAAGGGCAGGGAGTGATGGGGGAGATGCAGGAGGCCTCCTCCTCCTCTTCCTCCTCCCTCCCAGCTCCCCACTCTTAGAAGTTGTCACAGACTCCAGGCTGGGGTAAGGGGGAGTCAATACACAGTGATGATTTACAGGCCTGAGGAGCTCTGGTTCCCATCTTGACCTCCTTCCCTTATTTGCTCTGTAACCCCAGGGAAGTGACTTCCTCTTCCTAGTCTCATTTTCACTTCTGTAACATTAGGTGGGAGGGGATGGATTTTGATAAATCTCCCAAATTCCTTGCCAGCCGCTGGGACCAGTCTCCTTATACTCTTCCTTAGGTCTGACATTCTGGGTCTTGGGTTCAAGCTGGGCCTTTGCCCTCCATCTGTGCCAGTCTCTCATTTTTCCAATGGTATCAAAGCCAAGGTTCAGGGAAGGAAATGCATTTAGCCAAAGCCACTCACCAAGCCCACCCAGGGAGGGCCAGAGGCAGGAAAGTTCTCAAGGCTCTCTCCCTTAGAACAAGCAGAGAGCCCTGTCCTCCCCACCATCCCCCCATGCATGTCACAGCCCTCTCCTGCTGTATCCCTCCCCCTAACTCTCTCTCCCAAGCACTTACCTCTCCACCACATCCCCCCTCCCATATGTCCCTCCCCCCCAGCCCCTCACCCACCACCTCAGTCTCCTCCTCCCGTGTCTTCCCTCAGCCCCCTCCCCCAGCACTTTCCCCCCCACCACAGCCTCCTCCTCTATTATCCCCCGTAGCCCCCTCCCCCCAATCCCCCCAACACCTCTAGCTGGAAGCTGGGAGGGGTGACTCTCAGAGGGAAGAATTTGGCCCTCACCCTGGGCTGCCTTTAGCTATCTCCCCTTCCCCTCCCCTTGATGAAGAAAAACAAGGAAACCAATCAAATTCCTGTCTCCTTCCCAGGGCCTCTGGGGATCCAGCAGGGAGTCACCAAATCCCAACATGTCAGGGCTGGAAAGGACCACAGAGGTCACTTTGGCGAAGATCCTCTGGACAGATGGAGAAACCAAGACCAAGGGAAGGAGTGGGACCTAGGCCAGGGTCTCACAGTGAGGCAGAGGAGGGGTAGGTCCCAACTTCCCACTCCTAGCTCTGGGGCCAAGGGAGCTTACCCACTTACCCAAGGCTAGAGACTGGGAAGAAGAGATTGGAGAAGGCCCTGCCTTCCCTTCATTGGCTGTAGGACCCCCTGAAACTCCCAGTATGGCAGGGATTGGCACTGGAAGGCTTCTTGGAAGCAGCCAGTGTGGCAGCTCAGGTGTGCTAGGGTGTGTGAGGAGCTCAGCTGAGACCAGATGTCTCCTTTTATGAGCACCGAGTTCAAATGCTGCTTTTAACACTCACTAACTTTGTGACGTTGGACTGGGTTTTCTTTATCTGTAAAAGTGGAGATTTGACTATCTGGCCTCTGAGGTCCCTTTCAGCTCTAAATCTTATCCCAGTGGGGCACAAGATGGTGGAGTAAAAAGGTAGTTGCTCTCACCCTCCCCTATCAACCTCTGAAAACCCAGAAAATATCACCCCAGAAAAAAACTCTGGAACAGCTAAACCAGAAAAAAGATGGGGAGCAGCAGTGCAGTAGCCCATGTAGCTTGAGGGATTAAAGGGAAAGGCCTCTCTTACCCTGGGGGAAGGGGAGCAGTATGGAAAGGGAGGCATCCCAGCCAGCTAATGGAAAGCCCCACTTTAGCACAGCAGGAGGAGATCCTGGTGCCTTGGCATTCTACAGCAAATGTCTCCCAGTGCCCAGCAAAAATAAGGGAAGCAACACTGCGATGGGCCCCAGGCAGATAAACACCCTGCAGCCGCCATCTAAAAGGAGCTGAAGAAAGCTAAAGGAAAGGAAAAGCAGGCAACCTAGAACTACCTGAAAGTTCCAGCCTTGCTGATTCCAGCCCAACACCAGGTAAGCTGCCAGAACCCTACAGCCTCCAATGGCCAACATAAGGGGCCCCAGCACACAAAGCCAGTGACCAAGACCTAGGCTCCCAACCCCAGAAGCTTGGATCAGTACCCTCTGTTCCCCAGCAGGAGAGCCCAATCTCTTTAAGGGACAGGGAATAAAGAAACACCATGAGTAAAAAGAAACATACCATAGTTTCATATTATGAGAAGAGTGAAGATCAAGCCAGAAATTCTGAAGAGGACAACATTGTCACCAAACCCACATCTGCAACATCAAAAGGGACTACGAACTGGTCTGCAGCCCAAAAAGCCTTCTTAGAAGAGCTCAAGAAGAATTTTAAAAGTCAAATGAGAGAAGTAGAAGAGTCCTTAAAAAATACAATTGGCCAATTGGGAAAAATGTACACTGAAGAAACAAATCCCTTAACAACACAATTGGCCAGGTAGAGAAGGAAGTACAAAAACTAACAGAAGAAAACAATCTGTTAAAAATTAGAATTGGACAACTGGAAACTAAGGACTCTATGAGAGAGCAAGAATCAGTGAAACAGAAACAAAAAAAGGAAAAACTAGATGAAAACATAAATACCTCAGGGGTAAAACAACTGACCTGGAAAATCGATCCAGGAGAGACAATTTAAAAATTGTTGGACTACGTGAAAATCATGATGAAAAAAAGAGTCTGGATAGTATCTTTTAGGAAATCATAAAGGAAAACTGCCCAGAAGTCCTAGAACCAGAAGGGAAAATAACCATAGAAAGAATCCACTGCTCACTGCCTAAAAGAGATCCCAATTTGAAAACGCCAAGAAATATTGTAGCTAAATTCCAAAATTACCAGATGAAAGAAAAAATACTGCAAGCAGTCAGAAAGAAACAATTTAAATACCATGGAACCACAGTCAGGATTACATAGGATCTTGCAGCTTCCACATTAAAAGACTGCAGGGTGTGGAACATGATATTCCATAAGGCAAAGGAGCTTGGATTACAGCCAAGGATCAACTACCCAATGGAAATGAGCATGATCTTTCAAGGGAGGAGATGGATATTCAATGAAATAGGGGACTTCCAAACATTGCTGATAAAAAGACCAGAGCTCAACAAAAATTTGATCTTCAAGCACAAGATTCAAAAAGAGACTTAAAAAGAAAGATACAATATATTGTTAGTAAGGGTGGACTGTTTACATCCATACAAGGGAAGATGACTCTTGCAACTCTTGAGACCTGTATTGTTATTACACCATGTTAAAGGAGTATACATAAAGGGGGTGGATAAAAGTTGACTTTGATGTAATGATAAAAAAAAATCTGATCAAGTGGGTTAAATGGATCCAAATAAGTGGATTAGTCTGATCTAAGAAAATGTACTGAGAAAGGAGGATGGAGACAAAGGTAAATTACAGGAAAAGACACAAAAACGTATTACAGCAGAGGGAAAAAAGGGAGGGAGATGAGCATTGTTTGAACCTTACTCTCATCAGATTAGGCTCAGGAAGGGCATAATATAATCAGTTAGGTATAGAAATCTAACTTGGCCTATAGGCAGTAGGAGGGAAAATGGGAAAGAAAAGGGAGGGGGGATAGAGGGGGGAGGGACTGAAGGAGGTGGTGGTGAAAAGCAAAACACTAGTGGGGGGGAAGGAGAAAGGAGAAAGAAAAGCATAAACAGGTGGGGAAAAGGATGGAGAAAAAGACACAGATAGTAATCATAACTGTGAATGTGAATGGGATGAACTCTCCCATAACATGGAAGTGGATAGCAGAATGGATTAAAAACCATAATCCTACAATACGTTGTTTACAGGAAACACATTTGAAAAAGGGTGACACATACAGGGTAAAGGTAAAAGGCTGGAGCAGAATATAGTATGCTTCAGCTGGAGTAAAAAAAAGCAGGGGTAGCAATCCTGATCTCAGACAAAGCAAAAGCAAAAATAGATCTTATCAAAAGAGATAAAAGAAGGAAACTACATTCTGCTAAAAGGCACCACAGACAATGAAGTAATATCATTACTAAACATATATGCACCAAATAGCATCCAGATTCTTAAAGGAGAAGTTCAGGGAGTTACAGGAAGAAATAGACAGCAAAACTATACTAGTCAGGGACCTCAACCTCCCCCTCTTTGAACTAGAGAAATCCAACCACAAAATAAGAAAGAAGTAACGGGGATGAATAGAACATTAGAAAAGTTAGGTATGATAGACCTCTGGGGATAGAAAGGAATATACATTTTTTTGGGTGGTACATGGCACATACACAAAAATTGACCATGTACCAGGGCATAAAAACCTCACAATCCAAGGCAGAAAGGCAGAAATGTTAAATGCATCCTTTTCAGATCATGATGCAATAAAAATTATATAATAAAGGGCCATGGAAAGATAGACTGAAAAATAATTGGAAACTAAATAGTCTAATCCTTAAAAATGATAGAGTCAAAGAACAAATCATAGAAACAATCAATAATTTCATTCAAGAGAATGACAATAATGAGACAACATACCAAAACTTATGGGATGCAGTGAAAGCAGTTCTTAGGGGAAGTTTTCTATCTCTGCATGCTTACAAAAATAAAATAGAAAAAGAAGAGATCAAGGAATTGGGCATATAAGTAAAAACCTAGAAAAAGAACAAACTAAAAATCCT